GTGACCGGTGGGGTTAGGCGGTGGTCACTGGTGGGTTGTGGTGGGGCTCCGGGGGCTGGTGGGTTGAGGTGGGGCTGGGGAGAGTGCTGGTGGGTTGAGGTGGGGCTGGGGAGAGTGCTGGTGGGTTGAGGTGGTGCTGGTGGGTTGAGGTGGGGCTGGTGGGTTGAGGTGGGGCTGGGGAGGGGGCTTGTGGGTTGTGGAGCTGCCGGTTTGGTCACGGTTAGGGCGGCGACGGTCAATGGTGGTGGTTGACAGGTGTATGTGTGCAGGGCTAAATGATAGTGTGGAGTGGAGTGGCGGTTAGTCGGGTGCGGTGTTGCGGGGACAGCCGCCATATGCATTGTGGCGGCCGGCTAAGGCTGGCCGCTTCACTAAACGAAAAACAATCATAGTGATACGGACGGTGGCTACAGTGACACGAGCGGTGACTACAGTGACACGGACGGTGGCTACAGTGACACAGGCGGTGACTACAGTGACACGGGCGGTGCCTACAGTGACATGAGCGGCGGATACATTGACATAAAATCTGGCAGACATAATGTTTTTCTAAATATATTACCTTCTTGATCACTTTTTTGCCTCTTTTCAAAAGTGGACAATTTTTTGATAATTGATTCAAAATTAATAATATTCAAATAAAAACCCATACTTAATAATTTCGCTCACTCGCTTTTTCTGTTATGATATTCTTAACACAAACTAAACGCTATATAAATGATAAAAGTAGTTGTTAATTAACACTACATGAATGACAGTAGCAAAAAGTACTTTTTAATTAGCACACAGATTTTCGTTTCCCTAATTTTGATTTAAGTCGGAATTTTCAATGGTTCCAAACTGTACCAAGTGTGGTCACTTCACTAAGTTAACAATAATGCATTAAAATTTAAAAACCGAATTAGAACAGAGACATTACCTACCAGTGCGTATACGCTGCAACCGGCGCAGCATGAGCATCATGCTCCTGTGTCGAAAACAGCGTCGTTTGAAGCATGTTACTTCAACCTGAAAAATTCGCGTGTTACTGTTCACGCGCGTGAATAGTAACTTTTTTTCATTGTCCAGGAGCAGAAATGTAACCCGTGTGTAGTAAAATGTAACTCATGTTGTTCGGAAATGTAAATTAAATCAAATTGAAATGTAAGTTGTCTAAAATAGAATATAAGATGTACAACATTAATTTTAATGTAAATAATTAAAAAAATTAGTCTAATTGTTCAATTATTTTAAGTAAATAGTGAATGTGTGATGTTTTTAATATTACAAACATTAAAATTGATTTTAAGATCAGAAAATGATTGTTTTGTTTCAATAGGAGGGTTTATTTTGTGATGTAACTCGCTTTATGGCAAATGTAACTGTCGTTTATACAAAATGTAATTCAAGTGTATACAAAGTGTAACTTACTAAAATAAATCTAAATGTAACTCATGCACGTAGATATGTAAATCGTGCATAAGAACGATGTAACTCCATGTATTATGAAATGTAACTCGACAAGTTGAATTTAAAGACTCCATTCTTATCCCTTCCACTTCTGCCAGTAAAGAAGACAAGCCGAAACAATTTTGTCTTCTCATATCTCTAGAGTCAATAATTTGATATGAATTTAAAGAAAATCATGATCGAGCACCAGCTGGTTAACGATCTATTTCCTTCTCTCGTTCAACAAGGAGCACCGTTGCATGCTTTCTCGTTCACTGGAATAATGGAACAATAGCTGAATCTTTTTGCCGGCTTGTCTTGCCTGCTTCTTGCGTTGCTGCGTAATAACAAAGTCGGCGGCCGTCGGTGAACTATCGGGAACAAAGGCTCCCCTCTTTAATTAATTAAACGGTGCCGTATTATGACCGAGCATACCATGCTCATGGTATGCCGGTCATACGGTATAATTTGCGATTACCTACGGCTTTGTGAAATCCTCCGCACAAAACAATGACTACTTTCCCTTTTCCCCAAAAACATGTCTAATCTTTTATTTATTTAATTAATGAGTCAATTCCCTAAATAGGACTAAAAAGTGGCAAAATTGCACAAATAGGACTACATTTTTTAAATTCCCTTAATAGGACTATTTATGTGTGTTAGGACAAATATACCCTTGTAACTTGTGAAATGTTTTAATTAATAATAAAATCATAAAAAAATAATAAAAAAAAAAAAATACTAAAAATCGTAAAAAAAATAGAAAATTAATAAAAATATTTTTAAAAAAAAAATTAAAAAAATATTATTTAAAAAATTAAAAAAAATTAAAAATAATCGTAAAATTAAAAAAAAAACATTACCTCCCCTGCCACCCCCAGCACTACTAGCTCCCATCACCGGAGAAAAATATGCCAACATTTTAAATAATGCCATAATGATGGTATATTCAATGAAAATGTTGGCATATTGAAGAGTAATTATGTCATCTTTTTGACATTTTCAGAAAAAGATGACATTTTCTACCAAAAGTGGAAGAAATTTCACCAATCGGAGGTGGTGGTGCTAGGAGGCAGTGGGAAAGGTATCCATAATTTTTTTTCATTTTTATGGGTTTTTACTATTTTTTATTATTTTTTTAAAGAAATTAAAAATAAATAAAAAATAAATTTTTTATTTTATAAATGCTTTTAGGGGGTATTTAGGGTAGAAAATCAATGTTTAGTCCTATTTAGGGAATTTAAAAAGTAGTAGTCCTATTTGTGCTTTTTAGGAACTCATTAGTCCTATTTAGGACAATTTCCGTTAATTAATCCATATTTTCATTGTAATTTATATCTAGTGGCTGCCCCCGCCCACCCCACACCTGTAACTGCTAGAATCAATATTCTGTGGTCAAATGATCCATTAAAAGTGACCTTGAACAAAAACATGATGAAAATCAAGAAGAAATAACTTGGGGCATAAGAAAGGAGCTTAGATAGTCGTGAAAAGTATGATTTGGTCACACATTCAGCCGAGTATATCCAATATTTGATTAGGTATGATTTAACTAGGAGATCATACAAGATCAAACAAAGAAAGAGAACGTTGGAAAATATGATTTTGAGGAAAATATAATTTTGGGGAAAATCCAGTTGGGTTTGATTATATTTTAGCAATTTCCGAGCTACTGTCTAGATTTTCCATATCATTTCTCCTATAAAAACTTTCATTTCCTTCCATTTGAGCAACCAATAAGTCCCTCCTTTCTTAGAGTGTTTTTTGTCATTGATTTTGCTATATTGAAGCTTGTGATTTGCAAGTTGTGAGTTATTTTTTTAATCTTCCTCTCTTGAATATTAATCACTTCGTTATTCATATTTGAACATCGCTAAATGATCAATTGGTGATCAATGGGTTGATGTATTCATATTGATTATTCTTAGAATCGGTCAATAATACGTTTGTTATTCACTTAGTAGTAATCTTAGATTATTAATGCATGCATGTGTATCATGGTTAATAATCTAAGAGGAAGTAATATACTTATATTGGTTGAATCGAAAATGTGTTTGTGTTGGGGTTGTCAATCTTAATTGATTTAATTAGATAACCATTGAATGAATTAGATAGAATAGTTGAACCTGAAATTCTCTTTGTGACAGCCGTGAATACTTATTAATGAATTAGGTCTTTGGTAACAAGTTATTGTTCTTTATGGAGTAACAAATTGATTGAATAGTAGTGTATATAAAGTCATCGCAAATTGAGAAAACCCAACTAAACAAATACAAATAGAAATTACTTCAAATAGAACTAAAACAATGGCAAAAACTCAAAATAGAACTTGTATGTTTTTTATTCCAAAATAGGACCATATTGATCATATTGGAAACATACATATTTCTTCATTCCATTCTTGCCCCTCCTTTAAATATGAGTAAAACATAACCAAAAGTCATAATTAAATGTTTAATTCATAATAAATTCGAAAAAATTTCAAAAATTCGTAGAAAAATAATGAAAAAAATTAAGAAAATTTTTATAAAATAAAAAATCATTTTTTTTTAATTTTTTTTTTGAAAATTAATAAAAAATAGTAAAACTCCATAAAAAATTAAAAAAAAATATGGATGCCTCTCCCACCGCCAGTACTACCTCTCTGCACCACCACCTCTGATCGGTGTAAAAAAATGTCATCTTTTTTTTTAAATTCTAAAAAATGGCATATTACTCTTTGATCCTTTTGACTTCTGCCAACACTTTCATTCTGCCAACTTGAATTCTTTTGACTTCTGCCAAAAATATGGCATTCGTAATGAATTTGACATTTTTTTCCCCGGTGACAGGAGGTGGTGGTACCACCTCCCTGCACCACCGCCTCCGGCCGTTAAAAAAAGCCATATTTACTAAAAACTGCCATTTTTCGGAAAATGCCAAAAATGGCATATTTCTCTTTGAGAATGCCAACTTGAATCATTCTGCCAACTTGAATCAATCTTACTTATGCCAAAAATATGGCATTCATAATTAATTTGGCATTTTTTCCCCATATGACTGGACTGGAGGTGGTGGTGTTGTGGCGGCAGAGGCGGCGGCGATGTTTTTTTTTTGCAATTTTTTTTAATTTTTTTTTTCGATTTTTTTAAATTTGTTATTATTTAAAATATTTTTATTAATTTTTTGGGATTTTTTCGTTTTGTTATTATCTTTATATTTTATTATGAATTAAAACATTCCAATAACTATAAGGGTATATTTGTCCAAGACACACATAATTATTCCTATGGAAACATAGTTTGTATTTTGATCATATTTGTGTAAAGTGAGTGACTTTTAGTCCTATCGATGGGGTATTGCATAGATTTAGGACAAAACAGACTAATGATGGAGTGTGCATTTACTAAGCCAAATCATGCAATTAAGGAGGAATGGAGGATTCTAAAAGACAAAGCTAGCTATGCATCGATTATGGTGATAAGCCATAATAACATGGCATTAACTGTTCGTCTCTTTTAATCAAGCTGGCGTTCGTTTTAGCATAATCAAGAGACTTGATATAAACTCGGTTATTGTAATAATGATTTTAAGAAGAATGAAGAAGAAAAGTAGGAGAAAGCTGATGATGGAGAAGATAACTCAGGGTTTGGAGGCAATAAATGCTCATGAAGATGATGATGAGGATTGGGTAATGTTTTCTCAGGATGAAGACGATTATGAAGAATTTGTATTGTTCCAGCAGCAAATGCAATTGGCAGCTACAAGCCAGGGCCTTCCAAGGAATACTACTTCAAAACTACAAGGCAGCGTTTCAAAGGTTCAATATAATAATTTCCAAGCCTTTATATTTTGAACACTTGGTACTTTTCAAATAAAAACATAAAACGTGACTAGCTAAAAAAAAACCATTGATCTCATATTGTGAAAAACCAACCAAAAAAGTACAAATTGAAAAGGAGAAACTCAGAAAGTGCTGGAAGTTAAATAATACGGAGTACGGAGTAAATTGTTAAGAATCTCAGAGTGCAAGCTACAAGCCTACAAGTCTTATCATATGGTATTAGAACGGATATCATTAAGACTCAACAATGAATGTAAAGGAAAGATTATTAAAGAAATAATTACATAATTATGACTAAAATGATGAATGTTTACAAAAATATGATTAGTGACTAGAGTAGTAATGAAATTATAGTAACTTATGTTCAATTTTTAAACTTAAATTACTATGACACTACATTGTAGTTACTTATAATAGTCATATTTGTGTAAATAAGTTTTATTTTAGTAATACTTTTGAAGAAACTCATATTTAAACTACCATAACACAGGCATGTTATAATTTAGCTCTCACATCAACCACATATATAAAGATAGAAACGCCTAACGCACATTTAATTTCGACCTTGAGCTACTCATATTACCCTGTTTTTATACCTCGGAAACGACTCGCATTAGCGTTTTTGAATGGAACACTGAGTATTAGCACGAATGTCAATGTTAAATAAAAGATATGTAGTATAAATATTAGACCAATTGAAGAAGTACTAGCCTTTTGTGTATATAAATGAAGATGAGTAGTTGATCTGGTTTTAATTGGAATGCAAAATGGAAAGAAAATTTCACAAGAAATTTCATTTCATTTTCTCTTTCCTTATTCATTTGGGCAGTTTGGTCGTTTGGGAAAGTCAGTTGTGGAAGCTACTCCCATTCGTTGTGCTCCTAAATCTGTAAAACAACCATTGGTGTTGCACTTTTTAGCACAAGGAGTTGAGCAATGGATTAGACAATACTACAGAAATTGTGACAAGATACTGGTAGTGGGTGAAGTTGATTTCTCCTTCTCTTCTATTTTGGCCTCCTTTGGTTTAGCTTCTAACATGACCGCCACTACTCTCGAGTCCCGTGGTAATATAAATATCTGATCTACTATATACGATAGTATAAATTAAAGGCTATTTGTTTTTTTAATGGTTCCATTTTTTCATTTTCTCCTTTAAGGATAGCAAATATTTGGATGATTGGATCACAAGTGTGTTAATGATATTTAAGGTGATGTGCAATAATCAGCAATATAATACCCATCGTATAGTCATGTTAAAGGATAGTTTATTACTTTATTAGACAAAGTTTTATATTGAAGTAAAGTGGCAGGATGGACTTGTCACATTTTTTACTTTTAAAAGTTGAATTAATCTTAAACGAACAAACCACTCCCTTTTGTGTAATGCAAAAGCATTGTCTAAAAATGTTTTTATTACTCCATCCGTCCCATATTGGTTGTCTTACTTTCCTTTTGGTGTTGTCTAAAAATGTATGTCATGTTTTCATTTTTTGTAAGAAATTTGTGATACATATCATTTCACTTTATTCTGCTCAAATCTCAACCACAACTTTTATTTTTCAACCACTTTAATAATAATTGTGCCAAATTAAAATGAGACAACCATTATGGGACGGAGGTAGTATTATTTTTTACATATCTAGGCTAGCTAGCTAGTAGCCTTTTATGCTGATTGCATTTCCTTGTTTTGTTTTATTTCAGATTTTTTCATCAAAGATTATGATAAGAATGCTCTTGAAAACATTGTTACTTTGAGAAGGAAGGGATGCAAGGTCATGCATGGTGTTGATCCCAAGTACCTGGCTGACCACTCATTATTGCATGGTGTTGTTTTTGAGCGGATAGTCATTATTCTTCCGTTTTTTGGTTTTCCCAACTTGAAATCCCGCACTTTCCGACTAAGGTTAGTTTTCATATAACCACAACTAGTTCTATACTTCCTTACATATTTTTCTTTTTTGCAAAAATTATATCATCTTTACTTACATGTTTTTATTTGTTGGTTTTACTCAGAAGGCATCAATTCCTTGTGAGGGAGTTTATAGAAAATGCTATGAAGCTGATTGATAAAAATGGAGAAATCCATATAGCACAAAGGAGGATAAGAGGTCTCCGAAGTGAATGGGAAATGATCCGAGCAGCTGATTTCAATGTTGATGATTGTCTCTATACCAGATTTGAATTTGTAACGCCATCTTCAAGCTACTAAATCATTCGTCCGCATGGAATTCTGATAACAAAGTGATATTCAAATTTTAAGTCCATGGTTCATGGTTGGTAGAATGGCTCCAACACACACACACAAAACTGTTACTAAGATTGCATCAACATTTGCTCTCCAACCAAAACTTGCATTTTCTGACTTTACATTCTATGCAAATGCATATGTCGTAAACATCATTAACTGTCTCGATTAACTACTGTTACACACTAACATCACTCATGACATGTCATTGATGCTAATGTTAACACCACATAAGTGATGCTACGTGGTGCATAACTTGGGAGTAAGTCGTGATTTGGTAGAAATGCTACAACAATTCCAATTATAGTTCCAATCGGTGCTTCATAAATGAGAATCAGACAAGGATGAAGCTAGATGAACATGATTAACAAATACTTCGTAGAAGATATGTGCTAGTTGCAACTATGAAATACAATGAAGATTTACAAATACAAATCTATTTATATTATATATAAGAAAAGAGATAGCAGTATGGTTCCGGAAATAGTCTCTCTGTACTTTAGATTTGAAGAGCTAAATCTATTTACAAATACAAATCTATTTATATTATATGTAAGGGGGGTCGGATGTAAGCAGTCTTACCCCTGTACTAAAGCACAGAGAGACTGTTTCCGGATGACCCATAGAGTTTACTTGATATTCAATTGAAACAATAATATCCCAGTAGTTAAGCCTCCCATATTAGTCTACCTAATATAGGAGTAGCCTGCCTGGATCCAATTTTCAATCTATTGAATGATAGTAAGCTTCTCTTATGGGATTGCTGAATTTGAATGTCATAAATTAACTTCTAAAGGTAGTAATTGCAGCCTGGAATTAGTGTATCTAATACAAAAGGAGTTCATTTTGGCTTTTGTATAAAAGCCACGTATGAATCAAATCCTGCCAAAAGAAACCAACAAGTAACAATTTTAAAAAAAAATCAGACTATTTAACGGGCATAAACTAATTTTTTGCATCAAAAAGTGATAAATGTAGTTGTTATAATGAAGGAATTATAAATAACGTCTATTGCTAATTCATTAGTAGCTAACCATGGTTTAAACTGGACAAGAATATACACTTTTTCTCCATTAATTAAAACATAGTCTACCTGTGAAAGGGAATTCAGTTTCATTGATGAAAGCTGTATATGAATCAAACAATGTCAAAAGAAAGCTATAGCTTAAAATTCTTTTGAAAAAATAATCAGGCTCTTTAACCCGGATAAACGAATTCATTGTATGAAGTGACAAATGTAGTTGTTATAGTGGACAAAAAATCTAAATTATAGTAGCTGCTATTTTTTTCTCAGTTTTTACATGACATTTAGGTCTACCAAAGCATATAAGATGTTCAATGAAATGTTCATATCAGGAAAATAGCAGAGAAAAGAACAATGCCTGCGGTTTTTAGTGACGTTAGACAAATGTAGCCGAATTTTGTTTTCAATCAAGTCAAATTTTGTCTGCTTTAGTCAGTTTAGTCAATCTAATCTTAAGTAAGTTTATAGCCATTGACTTAATAATAATATTAATGTGTGCTTAAAATGGACCTTTTCACCATTTCCACACAAGTTCTAGCATAGGTCAAGTGCACAGTTACAGAAAGTAGGTGTGAAATACATGTAAGATGAATTTATAAATTACTTAAAACCCTTACTTAGCTAAAAGGTTAAAAAAGAAAAAAGAGTTTATTGGTATATTTCATCTCTATCCGCATGAAATTTCATATAATTTACTCTTATTTGATATTTCTCACTTCAATTGGTACGAACCGGTTACATATGTGGTTTAGTAGCACCCTTTTTTGTGTTCTATTAAACAAACAAAACATATGTTTACCTTTTACCAGCGATGAGTTTTTAGATGTATCTTATGAGCTTTTCATTGAATTTTTCCTTTCATAGTTCATACCTTCATGTAGGGATGGACCCGGTCCAGTTCCGGTACTGGACCGGCCTATCCCAGGGGTGGGATGGTGGGGTGGGGTAAACCGAGACCGGCACTGGTTATTCAATTCCCTGGCCATTCCAAGTTCCGGTCCAGTCGATTGTTTAATTTTTTTTAATGAATTTTTATATCCTCCCACCCCTCTAACATATTTTAGCTTTTAAATGAATTTACACCTCTTTTAAAATTCTTATAATGTTTTGAATGCCAAAAAAAATATGATTGATCAGGGACTGGACCAGCCGGTCTTGGTTCGCAAATCCCTCAACCAGGACCGGGACTCGACTACCCACGGGTCTAGCACCGGTCCCAAGCCCAAACCGTAAAAGAAGGTCTGGTTTGGTCCTGTGAACTAGGTTCACCCCTAACTTCATGTGACAAAGCATATATGTGATTCATGTGTTTGACTAAATAATGCTTGCTAAACCTATACCTCTCCTGATGGCTACTGCTAATTTTCTTTTTGAGTTGTATTTCTATACCTCCCATTGGCCAACTGTGATTTTTATTTATATGTTGTGGTATTTGCATCTTTTATCTAAACTATCTCATTAGGAAATCCATATTTTTAATCCAAAACTTTCTTCGTGGATAGTTTTTGGTAATTACTTTGATGCTTATAAATCAATATGCAAAAACACTTTTACTTTTCCCAAACGTCAATTAAAACTGTGGCGGATGGAATCATATAAGTAAACGAAATGCCAATTATGATTTTATTATTGTTCATAACAGTAATGGTCCTAATACTCAGGCTACATGAAGTAATCTTTTAATCCCAACATCACATATTAAAAGGTTTGATCTTTCACTATTCCGCTAAGAACTAATATTGTTATCATATCCCATTTCAACAGGTTCTTTCTTGAATCTCTAAAGCAATTTCACAACAAGGGTATTTGGATATCTAATATCAAGGTTGGGCTCCTATATTCACCTTCGAGCTTCACTTGTAAGGGAAATCGGAGAATTTATGACAACCCAAAAACCATACTTCTTAGAACAACAAAATGCAGATCTTGCATAAAGCAAAGAATTTGGCTGTAGTAGACCAAAAAAATGCTTATAATTTCTCTGAAATTATAAGCATTATGTTCCAAAAGTGCTTTAATATTGAAACGAATCATGAAGTGCATTTGAAGTTAAGATTTTAGATAATCTTAGTTTTCTTTGTTTAACTTGAAGTGGGCATCTAAGTTGTACACAATGACTCAGAATAATCAATGCAATACTTATTGGCTCCTTAGAACTTGATAGTAAAGAAATATTGCACTTACTTATCACTTACTTGCTATAAAAATATTCTTCTTATGTCTTGCTTCTCGGATTCTCTGCTCTAACTATTTGAGAATTCAAAATATTAAAATCTAACATCAAATTGTAATTAATGAGTTAGAACTATAAAGGTGTATATACGAGCCTCAACTCAAGGTAGAGTTACTATGTATAGACATATAGGAGTGATAAATTCCTGTAAAGTCATCCCACTCATTTCATTTTTAAAATGAGGCAATATTTTGTTAAATAAAGAGCGGCATATTTTTAGTTCTATCAGATATGCATTAGTAATACTTTAAAAATACTAAATAAAATGAAGTTTAATTATAAGTGGCACAAAGTAGTCTATCATCTAATATGATAGTGTTTCATAAGGAAAGTAGAATGCCATTGTAAATATACTATTTCTTATGTGCAAAATTAGTCTATAAAAATACTCCATAGTATATAATTTGATTGTACTTCACACGGATATGTTTCATTTTTGGTGTTTTTTTGTAGTCATAATCATTTTTATGTAGTAGTAACGTATAGTAACACAAATTCTTTCATAAGATTATGAACAGAGAATAGCAAGCACGATGACATCCACATATTATAATGGAATGTAGTACAATTTTCGATTGCACTTCATTTCAATATTTGTAAAATTTTGAATACAAGACCGGTGATGACCAAAGATATTTGCCTTGCAAAGAATGCATGCATGGATTTTCCTTCAAAAATGATGTTCATATCAACCCTTATACTCACTTTTATACCTACCCATATTTGTGAAAACTTTTTTTGTCTGTGAATTCCGTTCACCGACAAAATAAGACTAAATATGTCTTCTTTTGTTTGCACAGACAAAATAAAACATATTTTATATGTGAAAATGACTCACAGGAAAAAAAGAGCCTTAACAGAGGTGAGGTATAAGAGGTGGGTACAACAAGCATTGATGTTGTAATGTTTGATTTGTAAACTTAAAAGATTCCTAACTACAAATTTAAATTAAATTTACTTTTCCTTGCAAAAAAGAAAAAACAAATTTAAATTAAGTATCATGGAGTAATCTGGCAATGCTATATTAAGGAAGTTTTTTTGGGACTGAAATTTGCTGGTCTGGTCTGATCTGGTAAACGTCTGGTCTCTGTGTATTTTATAACTACGAAAGTCAGGTCAGATCTGGTCTGGTCTGGGGCTGAAAACAGTCCAAAAGAAAACATCCTAAGGAAGAGATCGAGAGACCAAATAAATCTGACTATCATGTTAGAGACCAGGTCAGATCTGGTCTGGTCTCTGTGTATTTTACTCTATAATGTTAGAGACCACTATTCTATTTCCATAGTTTCAATATATCTGTAATTTACAAGTGATGCAATATATCATAATTTGTATAAATGGTACAACTCAATCTAACTACTTAATAATTACCCTATCAAACATTTACATAAACTAAATGTTCTCACTTTCGAAGATACCTTTTTACACTCTTTCGTTGGAACTTTAAAAAAACACTCTTTCGTTGGATATTATATATATTTATATGTGTGCAATTATCAATTTTAAGTTTTGAGCTTTCCCCGTTTTTAGTTTTGGATGTAATAAAAGAAATTAAAGTCGATAAAGTCATGTTGGGTGGGGGAGTATGCCATATAATGATTGATTTGATCCGCGTGATTGGCTATGAATTTTGTTTCAAACTTCTTCTTTTTCGAACTTTTTGGGCATATTTAAACAAAATCTTTAACAGATCAATTTCTTAAAAGTTATTTCAATGATATTGGTAGAAGAACTTTAGCCTATCAAACATTTTTTACATCTAACTGTTATCATTTCTGATGACATTTTTTTACCCCTTTTTATTTTCTATGAGTTTATATGACACACACACATTGACACATATACAGCTATGTGATTAACACTCCATATTAATATTGATAATATTCACCCAGAGCACTTCACCATATTCATGGTTCATGTTAGAAAATTTTAATACACCATCGTGTATATGCAGGGGCGGAGCTAGGGCAATAGGACGGTACAAATAATATTTTTGGAAAAGTATTTGCATGGAATTTCTTACACTAAAAATATAGACATTTTTTAAATTTGGGTTGAGCCGGGGCCAGGGTTGGCCCCTCTCTAGCTACGCCCCTGTGTATATGACTAAATCAATTGCAATAAACCTCATTTGGAGCATCTTTAAGTGGTTTTCAATAGTTCATCCAAATTACTCAATTGAAGATACAAAGTTAAATTTCAGTCCAAAAGAAAACACTTGAATCTTTATAACTATCTACACTACTTAACACGGGTTCAATTTTCACTAAATCTTCACAATTATACACTATGTTTAATGTAGTCATTCCTGTGTTTTCCAACATTGAAAGACTCAGTTTTATATATGCAAAAAGACTAATTTATAGCCAGATATGATTTACAACTCAGCGACCACCCGTGCGGATGCACGGGTACTGTACTAGTTGATACATAAAGATGAAGCCCCGCAATTGATCACTGGAAAGGGCTTAGCTTTGGGATCTTTAAATGATGTTGGAAATGGAGCCAAAGAAAAGAAACTCTGGACAAAGTTGCCACACCAGAAATTCAAAACCGCAAAACCATACTGATATCGGACCATATGTGATTTCTTGCAGCCACAAGCGCATGGTTGGGATCATATCCCTCAAAATCTGCATCAGTTATTACTAACACAGAGCTATCATTAAATGCCAACAGAATTTTTGTAGGTATGATTATTGTACAAATCCGAGGCTAGTAGTGATAGAGAAGGTCAAGGAGAATGTGCTACCTGTCTTCATCATCAGATGATGATACAATTCCTGGACAGCCTGTGTGGCTGTGTAATGCCCAAAAGAATCATTAGATGCTAAACTATCAATTATTATGATGCTTAGATATGATACCCATACGTTGTTTTTGTCAATAGAAAAAATTGATAATGCCTTTTACTCCCTCTTTCAAAAACGGTATTTACTCGTGTCATTTTGGCCGAAATGCTGAGAAAAAACATCACTTTGTTAGTTCCCTTTTTTTTATAATCTTAAAAATGGGACATCCCAAAATGAAAAATGGGATTATATCTTATAGATGGAGGAAGTATGAAATTAAGAAATTACATAATAAATTTTTACGATGTGCTCTAAAATACTTTCTAGCAATAGAGGCATGATAGAGCTAGTTAGTTCTTTCATGTTGCACATAAGCTAGCATAAACACTAATCTGTCGCTATGTTCTTTAGCCTCTCTGTGGTTAAATATCTCATGGAGGAGTACGCTGATATGAGCTTTGATAAAGAAATATGTGAATATCCTAATATGTCATAAGCAGGGAAACATAGTTAAAGAGCATCCAAATGTGCACAGTTTGAGAAAGGGCCAGGCCAATATGCCATAATACAACGAAATACAAAATAAATCAATTGTCTGGCTGTTGGCATACCCTCAATGATTATGCTGCTTAGATATGATACCCATACCTTGTTTTTGTCAATACAAAAAAAAAGGTAAAAAAAGGTATCTACTCCCTCGGTAAAAAAAGGTATCTACTCATGTCATTTTGGTCGAAGTGCTGAGAAAAAAAACATCTTTTTGTTAGTTTCCTCATTTTTTATAATATTAAAAATGGGACATCCCAAAATGAAAAATGGGATTATATCTTACAGACGGAGGAAGTATGAAATTAAAAAGAAACTACATAATATATTTTTACATTTTGCTCTAAAATACTTCCTAACAATAGGCATGATAGCGCTAGTTAGTTCTTTCATGTTGCACATAAGCTAGCATAAGCACTAATCTGTCTCTAGCTATGTGCTTTTGCCTCTCAGTCCTTAAATATCTCATGGAGAATTAAGTTGATATAAAAATTAGCTTTAATAAAGAAAGATGTGAATATCCTAATATGTCATAAGCAGGGACACAGTTAAAGAGCTTCCAAATGTGAACAATTTGAGAAAGGGCCAGGCCAATATGCCATAAGACAACGAAATGCAAAATAAATCATTTGTCTGGCAGTTGGCATACCCTCCAAATGTTCTGGTTGTATTAAGCACTTGGAATAGGCTTCTCCTTCTTATTGTTTGTCACCAAAAGGCTAGTGCGCATTGGCTCAATTATCTCCAGGTTCTGGACACTGATAACAAATAAAAAGTTTAGTTGCAGGTGTGATGAAAGGAGACTTATTGATCAATATTCTACAGAAGTACAAGAGAAAAATTGTTATTAACATCTGTACCTGGTAGAATCAATATTCATGTGGTCAAACGATCCATTAAAACTGCTTAGTCTCACCCCCAACAGACATACAGAAGCAACATTGGTTTCAGTTTGATCTTGAAGTGCAGATTTATTATTATTTGGTATGTAAGAATTAGGTGTGCAAACAAATGCTTGATGCGTTCAAAGTACATCAAGCATTATCTAAGTATACATGTATTTTCCCATTGGACTTTGCCAACTTTCCTTCAAAGTTAGAGTAGCAGGCATTGATAGCCCAAGAAATAGCATGACAAATAACCTCCAATTCAATCTGCCTCTAATACTGTCTTGGCTTTAAAGTGAAAAAGCAGTGCAAAGATCATCTGGCAACAGATATTATGCATTATACAACCTCCAGTAGCGTGTCAGTCTTTAAGGGAATATTCTGCATTGATTTTAAAATGATCAATGCACTTATCTATTTAACCACAACTAGATTACTGGTTTGTAATTTTTGAGGATTTAAAGCGCTCAATTAACAAATATAAGTCAAAACTGATTTGCTTTGAGTTTTTTATACCCAATGAAACACGAAATGCTTAATCTGATAAAAGATTTGAGGAGTGAGCAGGGTAATCATCTCAAGTTAGTTGGGCATACTGCTTTCGAAAAAACCATGCCACAACACCTGAACTAATATCTTTAAAGAGGGTCTATAAGACCGGTTTTTCCAACCTCCACTCACCAAGAAATAATCAATTGCAAAGTAGAACATCAAAAGGATGGTCTACAAATAGAAAAAAGTCCTATACATGAATACCAAATACTTTTTGACAGCCAGTTCAAGAGACAGTGATTACTAGAAACTCCATGTTTAAATAAAAAGGGCATCTCAACGGTCATTCAACTGTATATTTATTTAATTAATCCGGGCAAGGTAGAATGTTAGTGAGACAGCGTCGTTGTAACAACCCATCTTCATAGTGGCACTCAAGGATTGGTTGAATTTCACGGTAGGCGGGCAGGGTCTCATTGTACGTAACCATGTGATGATACAACACAATTATATCGTCGAGATAAATAATACTCGAAAACTTGGACTTACTAAGTTGAGACTTGAGAGTATGCATCTTGAAACATCATGAAAACCGGTGAAATTGTAGGCGGATGGCATGGCTCACCTCTCTCTGAGTCTCTGCCTCTGTACTTGCACTTTCACAGTTCAGGCATATTTTGTTACATGTTTTGCCACAACTTGATTCAAGTGATACATCACCCTGTTTACTTTTATTCCCAGCCGACATTATTATATTCATAGTGCAACTTTTCTCGAAGAGGTGAAATGTCCAACTGTTAATAACTAGTCCTCATATAGCTAATATCAGAATACAACTAAACTTCGTGTGGCACCACATGATATCATTAAGCATAGCAAGAATTACAAACACGGGCAAATCCTACCCCCCGGATTATAAAGATATTATTCATTCTAAAGTCAAAGAATGAAATAAACACTATCAACTCTCCTAACGTGTAGTATAAGAATATTTAACAAACAACTAAACTAGTTTGGATAGCTGCTGCTAAAATATGGTTCACTCGGAATAAAAATAACTTTCACAGCAAACTCCACAATAAGTTATGCATATAGTTACTTCTAATATGAAAGCCATACGACCTCAAAGTAATTAAGTTAATCGCTCACATATACCAGTCTGATAGCAGTAACTACATCCCACCATAAATGTGCCTGTTAGTTGATACATTTTGTCAAACAAGATGGATTTATTGAAATGTACATGAACACTAATAGGTTTAGCAAACAGTAAGCTAAATTAGAATAACTAATTTTAAGAACTAATACTTTCACAATTTTCCTTTTTATTCAGGAGCATATGAAGCAAAGCGGAATCTGGTCCTTTTTGCAAGATGGTCTTCAATACAATCTCACAGGTGCTATTGTCAGGTGAGAGACCAAGTCTTGACATCTCTTCTAAAAGTAATACAACTTCGCAATACTGATTCTTTTTCAGTAACCCACGGATCAATACATTGTATATCACACTATTAGCCATATAATCATTTTTCTCCATTTTCTTGACCATATCTCTAGCATCTTCTATCAAGCCTTCTCGACAAAGTCCAATGATCATACTCATATAAGTAAACTTATCAGGCAAAAGTCTTTTAGAGGGAAGGGCATTAAATAGTTCCATTGCACTCTGTGCCTTCCCATCATTCCAAAGTCCATTTATAACAACATTGTAGCTTCTTAAATTGGGGAAAGGAGTCCCAGCTTCCATCGTCCTCAGTAAAGAAAGTGCTTGAAGAACCCGATGATTCTTACAGAATCCATTTAGAAGAATATTGTACGTGGAAAGATCCGGATGTTCCCCGTTTCCCACCATCTCCTTAAAAAGCTTCACAGCATCTTCACATTTCCCATCCTGAAACAAAGACACAAGCATAACGTTGTAGGTAACAACAGTAGGCTTTAAGCCTAGATTAGGGATTTCCTTGAAGAGTTGCACGGCCTGATTTGAACACCCCCTCTTACAATATCCATTCATTAAAATGGTATAAGTGTAAATATTAGGGCCACATCCCTTGTCTATCATGGTCTTTAGGAGTTTTATTGCACTTTTCATTTTTCCGTGTAAGCAGTATCCATCCATCAAAGCACTGTAGGTGATTACATCAGGATTCACACCTTCTTGAATCATTCTATCTTTGAGTTTGGCAGCATTGTTGACCCATCCTTCCCTACAAAATCCAACGATTAGAATGTTGTATGTATAGACATTGAGAGGAACTCTATAGTCAGTCATTCTTTTCAGTAACTCTTTGACCTCTTCCCATCGACTGAATTTGCAGAGCCCATCAATAAGCACAGTATAGGTCAAGGCATCAGGAGGAATTCCCTTTTCACTCATCTTCTCCAACAAGAGAAGAGCATCATCCACCATTTTATCCTTACACAGCGAGTCAATAACGGTGTTGTATGAAAATACATTTGGCTTGCAACTTCCCTTCTCGTCAAATAAGTGAAGCAGCTTAACACCCTTACTAGTTTGTCCTGCCTTGCAGAGGCCATCAATGACTATTGATAAAGTAACTTCATCTATCTCACACATTTTCTCATTCAATACCTTCTGGAACAACCAAACAGCATCTTGAACCCTATGTTGCAGAAAAAGTCCTTTCAATAAGGTGCTGAAAAAAATCACATCAGGTACTAGACCCAGCTTCAAATTGATTCCTAAAACAGCAAATGCAAAATCTACTTTGCGCAAACGAGCAAGGGAATTGGCAGCAATGCTCAGCGTGCGCCCATTTATTAGAAGGCCGGAAACAAAAATATCTCGAAATAGAGAGACAGCCTCATGGTAACAACCCATCTTGACAACGGCATTCAAGAGGTAGTTGAATCTCTTGATGGGGGGGCGGGGTGTCATGGTAACCATGTGACGGTACAAACCAATTGCATCGTCAAGCTTAATAATACTTGTACAGTTCCATTTACAGAGTTGAGAGTATGACTCTTGAATTTTTGGCACAGCAGCAACATCATCATGAAAACTAGCCGAGAAGAAGTTAAAGGTGGGAAAGTGGGGGATGGGTAAATGGACGTTACCCGGTGATAATGCTCTCCAGGCCCGACTACTGAAAAGGAGCCCGGGAACGCCATTCATCTTCTTCAATTTTCAGGCAGGCAGCTTCCTCTGTGTCTCCATTTTGGTTGCACAATTATTATTAGGCGTGCAGGGTGGGCGGGTTGAGACCCGTAGAGAACCACAGTATTCTACACTTCCATCATACTCACCATTGCACAGAAAGTAGATAATAGGGAGTGCTCCCGTATTTTTTGTTTAGTGCACTTTCATTTTTTTTATGTATTCAAAAATTTGATATATTTTCTTTTTTGGGTAAGTTTTTTCTTTAAAAATACTCAATTATCCTTACTTTTTTTATTTGTTATCTTCTATTTTATACTTTTCTATCATTTCTCCTACTTTTTCAACACTATTCATTACTCTTATTATTGCACTCTAAAAAAATGTGTCAACCAGCTTACTCTAATAAGAAAAAGTGAGTGTTGGGGTTATCTTGAAACCCAATCCAGCTTGAAGTACACACTTTTCAGACACACTCGTGTCTGTGTAGGTTTTTTTTGTCCGTATACAGACACAACGTGTGTAAGTGTGTGTATAAAAAGTGTGTACCTCGAGCTGGACTGATATTCAAACAAATTCAAACTTACTTGCAAGCATTTCCCAATTTCAAAAGTTCAGCAAATTGACTTCTTTGGTCAAAAAGCAAATTGAATTCTTAATTTCTCTTGAATATTGAGCCTCTTCTGTTTATAATTATAACTTCATGAGATTACTACGGAGTATTACTATTTTCTTGCACTTCAGTTTAAAAGTGATGCATAAAAAAGTGGATTATTTGTCAATTTCTATGTGCATTTTTATGTTCTAACATTTAGTTAGATCCCAATAAGATGAGAGCAGTTCTTGCACGACTCGATTTTATAAAAGCAGCAGTTTTTATAGGTTAAATAGGAACATTGATTAGCCAATCTTTTTTTGAAGAAAATTAAGTAGCCAATCTTATTCTCTTAAATTCTTTAGTTTGAGAAATGGGAATTGATAAACATTTTCTTAGCGGGTTTTATACGATCATATTTAAATGTTTTTATATTTAAAAGCATATATATAAAATACTCGCTTCGGATTTTAAAGAGATAGCCGCCCGCTTTGATCAAATATTCACAATCATTTGAAAGAAAACATCAAAGCCTATTAAGGAGCTTGTTTAGTTTTGAAGCCTCTTCGAATTATCACATGACAAAAGCAATTCTTCATGAAAAACAACGTATAATGCACCTGAAAATGAAAACTTATACTCGTATTAAAGATCTCACCAATGGAAAGTTATATCAAAACTAGATTCTTTACCCGTGCGTTGTACGGGATGCACATGTTATACGTTTAGATGACAGTGGGAATCTGACGAATAGTTTGACCAACTCGAGTTTACATCTGTTAAAAATTTGGGATGGATTTTTTAGAACACAATGTTCGACAAAGTTGGGATCACTTCATACTAACAAAAATACTTGTCATTAGATATATTAATATTTTAATTTGTTAACTATTTTTGTTTATAGAATATAATTACAAAGGATTCAAGTAATTGAGTAACGCTGAAAAATTTGTAAACATCCAATAAGCAAAACACTTGATAGTATAGCTTTAAAATTCAAAATTTTTACATTATCAAACACTCAATATTGCTATGTAAGGAGTATTACATTTTCATAATATTAGTAGAAAAAGTGACTCTTTATAGGTGTATGCTTATAATTGAAAGCATTCCAATCAAAATATCGTAAACGTTCTAATATGTGTTAACTGAAATCTTGCCAATTATATATTACTACTTCGTATTGTTATATTATTATTTTGAATTGAAAATTTATTCCAATTACTCCATAATAGATAGTATATTACTATTTAGTACTACTATTATCATTGCTAATTATTGATGTACCTCTTATTGTTTAATGAGTATGAAATCATTAAATGCCTTATTGGTGGGAAACGGAAGCTACAACCTTGTTATTTTATACTCCCTCCGTCCCATTTTACTTGTCTTACTTTCCTTTTTAGGTTGTCCCAAAATAAGTGTCTCCTTTCCTTTTTTAGAAAGAAATATGTGGTCTACACCATTTCACTTTATTATATTCAAACTTCAACCACAACTTTTACTTTTTCAACCACTTCATTAATAACCGTGCCAAGTCAAACTAAGACACATAAAATGGGACGGAGGTAGTATTATTATAGAAGACTATTATTATTAATAATATAACTATTATCAATACCTATACCTATAAGATGTCATTGAAATTTTCTTATGTACTGCAAGACAACAATAATGATGTTTTTAATTGGACTAATGTTATTTTTAATACTGCAAAACAACTCATCGAGGGACACGGCCAAACTAAATCATCACATGGATGTGATTGTACAGGGAGAGACGGATATTATTTCAAAGGATTCGGAAAATTTCTACTTCTTTGGAGTGGAGGGATTTGACTCAATCAAAATTGAGTCAAAAATCTTCAAATTTGCGGTAACAAATGGCGAAATAGACATTTTCGTAATTAATAAATCTATGCTCAACAGGATTAATTTCAATCTTCACCTGGTACCGCAAATCATCCGGTATATCTTCCACCTCATTAGTATTGACCAGATTATTCTTAAGCACAAAAAGCGATTTGGTGTTATTACAGTTTGTTCAGAAATTAACAGTTCAAGCTGCTATGTTAAGATTGCTAAACATCAGGGGGGGCTCCATCCACATTCCCATTGGCCCACAAAATTCCGGGGTGCTTGTTCTGGAAGTATTTTCCAACTTTGTGGGACCAACTACTTTAGTGCAGGAAGAATCAATGCATTTGGAGCACGAGTTTTTCACAGGCACGGAAGAAATCACATCAATTTCCAAACTCATATTCAATTATGAAGTTCAAAAAGCCTATGCTGAAAAACAAAAGCCAATTTCCTCCGAGAAACAACCCCTTATACCACTCTTACTAGCTTACTCGGATGCCTCAGACAGCTTTAACCCATCAGACGACTCATACTATTCAGACGACTTTTTGGGACACGCAACGGAATGCGACCGTCGACCACCTAGAGCAATTTGCCGAAAATCTCAATTCATTACCTCAGAGAATTGCCTTCCAACTGAGAATTTGAACACCCAGCTCAAAATATACAGGAAAACTCAGAAAAACAAAAGGCGTCACAGTATGAGAACTAGATATCAGACCAAACAATTCCCATGGGTCTAGTCATTTGCTTTCTTTTATTTCCTTGTTTGTTCTTTTGTATTTTTCTTTTTTTTTTGTAATGTTTTTACTTTCTCTTTGTACCCTTCATTATTTTCAATAAAATTGTTACTTAAAAAAAATGGACTGAAGTTTTATGATCAGGTCCATTTAAGTTTGATCTGATGGACTAATCTGATCTGGTCCGGTAAGTGTCGAGTGTATGTATATTTTACTCATCTATTCTGATCTGATCAAGTCTATTGTATTTAAATTTGATGTGATTTGGTCTAGTTTCTTTTAATCTGGTCTGGTGTAGCTTATAATTGAAAACATTCAAATCAAAATGTGGTAAACGTTCTAATATGTTTTTGTGTTAACTGAAATCCCGTCAATTATGTATCATATTATAACATTATTATTATTATTATTATTATTATTACTATTATTATTAAAAAGAAAAAAAAATTATTATTATTATTATTATCATTATTATTATTTTGAATTGAAAATATTCCAATTACTTCATAATACATTACTATTTAGTATTTACTATGCCTATTATTATTACTAATTGCAAATTACTAAATGACTCTTATTGTTGAATAGGTATAGAGCATTATTTGTCTAATTGGAGGGAAAAGCAAAGTGCTAGACCTTGTTACTTTATACTCCGTATTATTATAGATACGTACACTTATGTTTAAAAAAACATCATATATAGTCACTGTCAAATGAATAGAACTTCAAAGGTGTTTCTAATATAGAATGATAAGAAGAAGAAGAAAGTTGTTAGGACTCATTGAGAATAACAAAATAAAGTGCAATTCCATAAACCGTACAAAATTAATTATCCCAAGGAATATAAAAAGGAAAACTGTCAAATAAGTCCACCTACTTTGTACGGAAAGTCAATTAAGCCCTTCTACTCTAACATTGATCATTAAAGCCCAAGAAGTCCCAAAAACCAGCCAATTGGGCTTTTTTCGAGGTCACCAACCGGTTAGCCTGTTAAATGCTTACTTGGCTGCATAGTAATGTGACCTCATCGTTGAGGGGTTTGCAGTGTGTGGACGCCATTGAGTTACTGGACGCCATTGAGTCAGGTAAGCATTATATTTGAGCAAGTGAACCGCAATCAATATCCATTTGAGTAGTCCGAATAACTACAGTCAGGTAAGTGTGAATGGGAGTTTTGTATTACGAAGAGTGTTTGAGCGCTGGTTATTTAAGAGCGTTTGTGTCGCTGGTTATTTAAGAGCGTTTGTGTGTGAATTGTTGGTGTAATAGCAATCAATATCCATTTGTTTATGTTTTAGCACTTGATTTTCTTTCAGTAGTGTGTGTAATAAATTTCACTTTTTTGGCTTTAAACTAATGTGTGCTTTTGTGTACAACATGTTTGAATCTGTGGAACTTGTAATTCACCATGGAGGGAACTTTGTGAGTAGTCCTCATACCATGTACGTAGGTGGTACAGTGTACATCATCAAAGTGGATCCCGATTTCATTAGCTTCCCTCATTTGATGAAGTCCTTACAATTAGGAACATATGGCAATATAAGTGAACTGTTTTTCAAAAGATCTGAAGAACCAATGGAGTTGCTACGTCCCTTGTTCAATGATGAATCCACCTTACATCTAATACAAATGGCTAGGACGTGTGGAAAGTGTGAGATTTATGTGCACCATGATCTGGATGAGCCTGAAATCCTTGAAATCCCTCCTTTACCTATGCCAGGTGCACATGTGGGTGATGCAAATGTTGATGGTGATGGTAATGCAAATATTCAAACTGAATTTGATGGTGATAGTGAAGCATCCGAGGAAGAACCTGAAGATACTACACAAGATGATGGTGAATAAAAACATTGCAGTTCTATTTTGGAATTTCCAAACATTTTTAGTCCTATTTCGGGTAATAACCGGTCAAAATACGGTAGCAACTTCGAACAGAGTAAATTCCTTTTGGGTCTTCCACCCATATCAATTTG